ACGCACAGCGAATAAATATATATATATATAATGTTTAAATTAAATGTGCACTACATCAAAGTCTAGAGGATAGAACAAGTTTAGTGTGAGGAGCAAGTCTGGATGTACTTGGACACGCTTTGAGGGCGGCACTGACTGTGTTTAACAGGTTATCTTGCATGTCACATCCCTTCTGTTAAAGATGCTTGTTGCTTTTTCTATGACCATCTTCAGTTTAACCAGGAAGAGTGTTTGCATGCATTCATGCAAGTATCCGTGTGTGAGCAGTGTGTCTCGACATATGCTGTGATGCTGCAGTGAGTTGTGAAGGCAGGGTGTTAGGAATTTGTGGAGACCAAATAGGCTGATCTCGCTCACTGCCGTATCCGTTTATAGCAGCTGCGTCTGCTGCATTGACAATATGATCTGTAAGGAGCTGTTGCCAGCAAAGTCTTGATAAAAGCATTTCCTAGAAGTTCCTTCTCTCTGAAGTGACACAAATAATTGTACTTCACCAGGACATTCAGATGTGTTCCCAATGGCAGATTTCACTGTTTGGGTTGGCAGCACTAAAAAAAAAAAAAGCACTGTCATGTCCGGAGTCCTACTTAGAAAAAGAGCATTCCTAATTTGTGTAACCAAGCTAAGGTACACTAAAAATATTAAAGAAAAATACTGCAAATGTTTTCACGTGAGCTGACTTTTCCTGTTGTACTTAAAAATCACTCCAGTCATTAGCTTTCCTAGTCTTGACAATATGGTGTCAGCAGGGTAGGAGTTACTGAAGAAAACTTAAAGCCAAGCAATGCACTGTGCTGCTTGGAAGCTTTTTTTGACAGTGTGCCTTCTGAAATTGGTGCTTGAATGATTGAGAGCAGGCTCCTGCCATTGCTGAATCCTACTTCTGTGTTCTTGGTGAAGTCCTGGCCCTGTGGAAGCTTCCATCTAATTCAGTGGGACCATGAGTTGTGTTTGTGTTCCTGGTCATTACCCTCATTCACTCACTCACTCACTCACTCACATGGGACTTCTTTGCTAATATAGTAGTTGTAGGATGAAGCTCTGTTCCCTGACTGAGATAATAACCTCTGGGTAATCCTTTTTGTCGGGACATGTCCACAGAAAGAGATCATGCTTGTGTTACGTCCATCCAGCTGTTCTGAAATGTAATGCTATTCTGTTGTGCCTTTATTTTTCCATGTAAAAGCAACTGCTGTAAGTTTTTTTTTTCCTTTAACTAGTTTTTATGTTTCTTTTTCTGTCTAAACAAACAAACAAACAAACAAACCAGTTTTCATTGCCCAGCTGTTATTTCTGGATGCAGTCTGTGATCCAGGTATTTCAAGAACCAATTACCTCAAACCTCATGTTAAACAGTGTTGCTATCTGGATTCTCCTTGATACTACAATATTGTAACATACACAAACAGGAACCTTGCTATGTATGGGTGTTTATATATATGTATCATATACATATATGCGTGTATGTGTTAGATATATATAAATGGAAAGTGATCCCCAAGGACTGAAGGAAAAAAGCAAAGCTTTTATTTTCCAACATTGAAACCAAAAGGGCTTCTCTGAAGCTCTATAATGGCATTGTGCTGGATATGTATTGAAAAAGTGTTTTCTGGAAAGTGCTTCCTTTGTCAGCCTTTTTATTTCAGTATTTTAATGGGGCAGATGATGTGATTGAAACACCGTATCTGCATTTTTTGGCCTCTTTTGAAGCAGAGGCCTCTTAATCTTTCCAATTGTTAAAAACCAATTAAACTCAGTATATAACATTCCAGTAAGGCTGGTATTGCAAAACTTGAGTATATTCTGGGAAGACTTTATTCGCTTTTGTTTTGGTGGAAGGGAGGGCACTGGCCAAACTTTACTCAACTTTTCCAACGTTCTGAGGAACTGAAGTGTAACCAGAACCATCCTGGTCATTTTAAATCCTAATTCAGTAGTCACTGGCATTTCTGGATTGGCCCCCTCATTAAAAAATAAATACCAAATAAAAACCAACAGCCATGAGCAGGAGGAAGTTGGAGGAGTTGTAGCTTCTGAATGTGTGCCAGCATCAGCACAGTCTATTGGATAGCAGGAAACAAGACAAGACCTGGCAAGACCTGGGACCTATGTGGCCCTTTTCTTTTTCCTCCCTTCTCCCAGTAACCTTCTCATAAAAGCAGGCCTTCAACTGCAATGACTTGCTTAGACAAAACCTTCTAATGCTTTACAGCTGTTGGTGTTTTATGATTACCTTTGGAAAATTATTTACAAAAATATTAAGATCTCCCAGAAGAAGACCTTTTGCAATGCTGTTGGCCTTGCAGTGGAATAATACTGTGATGCAAAGTTGATCTGTTAGTGGATCAGAGTTGAAGGAGGTGGTTACTGCAAACTAAGTAACATTTTTGACCTCTATTCTATGCCATAATTCCGCACAATGCCATTGTCAATCTACTCAAACTACCTGCTTATGAATTCTGCATGATCCTCATGATAGAGTTGAAAGCCTGATCTTTCACCTGTTAATATTTTCACATTTGTCCTTAAGTTTGACAAATTTTATACTGTAAAGTTGACCTGAGTACAGTTTGATGTCAATTCTTGTGGAAAGAGCTTTCTGCATGTAACATTAGACACATACAGTTAAACAACACAGCATAGTACAAAACTCACAAGATAATGTTTTGGCACCAGCAGAAAGAAATCTCACCCTGACCATTTGTCATTTTAAACCATCTTATTGTAAGTTTTACCAGCTACTTCTAAATTTGTGCTTTATTTAAAGAAATAAAATAAAAATCCTAAGACTTGTCTAGCGTAGTGAAATATGTGTATATCAGTTTTAGGATAAATAGCTAAGTCTTATTACGCTGTGTTACTTAACTTGTATATATAGAGTATACATAAGAGTTTGCAGTAACCTGTTTCTCCAGGATTTCCAGTTTGAATGGATTTAAACTCAAACTATGAGATTACGTAAATGATTTAGAAGATTGCAGAATAAAGTGAGTGTAAATTACAGGAAGCTCTATCAGATGGTGAAATAATTTTTAAAGAGTCTTTTGGTCCTTGGCTCAAATTCAATAAGTACTGTTTGTATACCAAGATATGTGAAATGTAAATGTTGTAGGTTATATTTCACTCTTGTAGCTATGAAAATGTAGAACAGAGATAGCTTGTACTACTGAGTTAACAAAAGTTATACTAAAGTATCCTGTTAAAAAAGTATACAGAGAGGTAAGCTCATTGCTGTAACCCCTTTTGGATTGAAGTGTGCTGATTTTTATATGTATATTATATATATATATTCTGCAAAATAATATGTGTGTGTATATATATATATATAATGTACGTATAAAATGGCCTAATGCAGACATCCATTGTATTGCAGTTATGAAGTGAAGACATTTCGGAAAGAACATTGTATCATAGTTCATGAATTTGCAGTGGATCTTTGTTCCTTTTTACTGTGGTATTTTAGAAATGAGTCTCAAGTTTGAAATTAGATCTGCCAAGTTGGAGTTTCGCTGCTTCAGCTTTGCACTGGGTGTCCGAATAAACCAGTATGAATGTAGTATTTGCCCTGTGTGAAGCAGCTACACCCCAACAGATAGGAGGAAAAAAAAAAAAAGAAAAAAAAAAGGAAAAAAAAAAAAAAGGAAAAAAAAAAAAACTAGAAAGAACTATTTCAAGTTTATCTTTTTGTATATGAAAATAAACAATAAATTACAAACAATTGCTTCTGTTGTCGCTGCGACGTGAAAAAATCACTGCTGTTTGGTAATACCGTTGATGTCTAGCTGAAATATTTCCTTCTTATAGAAGGACTTCTTGATGTTTCAGTGGTATCTGCTGCTAAATCAGCGTCGAGGCCTCAGCCTCTCCTCATGGTTTGCAAACTGCTCTGAAGGGAAGAAGGAATTAGCTCAGATAGCTGCATCCTTTCAAGCGTGTTGCCTCTTGTAGCACTGTGAGAACAGTGCTTGCCATATCCAGGGAAGAATAGTTCAAACTATTATCTGCATGCTAAGTTGTACCAATAGCAAGCCTGTTCAGCTATAGCTGGCAGTGATGGGAGTTAAGCTCAATGCCAGGACTTCGTATTCTACTGTCTTCTGCCAGTTCTCAGCTAAGGGAGCTGGGACTGGAGCAGAGCTTCCACTCATCACCTCTAGGTATCCAAGAAGTTTCAGTTGAGGTGTCTAGATTTCAAAAAAATATTATAAGAAGTAATTAAAAACTGAGCTTCTTAACGTTCTCCCGGTGTGGCGAGTTATGTAGTTCTCAAAACATGAGGCAGAAAGGTGTGGCACTTCCAACTGAAGCACAGCAGGCCTTCCCCCAGCACAAAAAAGACACAGAGCTGTTTTGGTGTGGGTTCAGAGGAGGCCACAAGGATGCTCAGTGGCTGGAACACTTTTGCTATGAAGGAAGTTTGGGGGAGCTGGGCTTGTGCAACAGGGAGAAGACAAAGCCTCGCTGTGGCCTTCCGGTACTTGAAGGGAGTGGATGAGCATGAGGGGAAGTAACTTTTTACACAGTCTGATAGGGACGGAACAAGGGTGAATGACAATAAACAAAAAGAGGGGAAAATTAGGCTAGATATCAGGAGGAAATGCTTTGCTGGGGGGCAGTGAGGCACTGCTGCCAGACGCTGGAGGTGCTCGGGGCCAGGCAGCCTGAGCTGGGGGCAGGCAGCACACAGCAGGGGTTGGAACTGGCTGGGTTTCAAGATCCCTTCCAACCAAACCATTCTATGATCCTTCAGGCAAGAGATGGTGGGAGGTCCCAGCCATCACGTATCGGTGGTTTCCATTGCTAAATTGGTCAGGTTTTTGGTGGGTTGTTTGGTTTTTTTTGTTTTTGTTTTTTTTTTGGCTTCTTGGGATAGGCTGCTCATAGAAGAGGAAAACCTAGCACTAATCTGACTCCTTAATTTCCTGCTGCGTTATTCCTCCGCGCTGTTTACAGCTCTCGAGGAACTCCTTTTTTTTTTACCTCGTTACCCGCGCACTGCTGTGGCAGAGCGGAGCTGAGCTGACGCTGCCATGGCGGGCAGACAGAGGGCGCTGCAGCGCAGCACCGCCTCCCTCCGTCCCTCCGACATGGCGGCCGTGCCCCGCCACCGCCGCTTCCTGGGCGGCTTCATCTGCGGGGCTGCAGCGGGCGCCGCTGCTTCGTGCTGGGCAGCGTGGCGGCTCCTGCGGAGCCAGAGTCAAGCGGAGCCGAGCTCCGAGCGAGCCCTGCCCGAGGGTAAGAGCTGTAGAGCGGCCCTTCTCGGCTGGTGGGGCTCACCGTCCCTGCAGGCGTTGCAGAGCCGTGGGGATGTGGCACGGAGGGACGTGGGCAGTGGGCGCGGTGGGGTGGGTTGGGTTTAAGTTTCTGTTTATTTTTCTCCTTAGAACCAGTAGAAGAGTCTCTGCTGGAAAAATACGGATTCCCTGAAGCTGGAACAGAGACCAGATGTTACACAAATCATGCGCTGTCCTATGACCAGGCAAAGCGGGTGCCCAGATGGGTGATTGAACATATTTCAAAACAGAAGATGCTGGGTACGTGGGTCTTTATTTCCTTTCACTTACGGTGCCTGGAATGAGATTTACACTCTACAGAAGCTGGGCCCAGGAACATGCTGGGAGAAAAAAAAACCTGCAGTGATCTCTAGATATGGATTTTTCCACCCACTCAGCATCCTACAAGAGGCAGTGGGCCTCTAGGTGGGTGTCAGCTCCTTTGCAGTGTTAAGGTTGATGTTGATAGTGAAATTAAAAGAGAGATGGCGCTTCGTTTGCTTGTTTGCATTAGTCTGGTATTGTACATCAGTGTCCCGAGGCCTGCAAGACACATTCAGCCCAGGGGTTGCATGTGAAAGGGAGTAATGAAGAAGAGGTGGCAGTCAGTCTCTTTTCAGGTGATGGCTTCAAGTTGTGCCAGGGGATGTGCAGGTTGGAGATCAGGAAATGTTTCTTGTCAGGAAGAGTGTTCATGCAGTGGCACAGGCTGCCCAGAGAGGTGGTGCACAGTCTCTGGAGGTGTTCCAAAACCAAGAAGATGTGGCACTGAGGAGCATGGGCCAGTGAGCATGGTGAGAACGAGTAGATGGTTAGATTAGATGATCTTGGAGGTCTCTTTCAACCTGAATGATTCCATGATTCTAAGAACTACAGCTTTCAGTGAGAATTTCTGTGAAAGTCAGATAGCGCCAGATCAACATAGCTGTGTCAGCATAAACACTCTAAGACATGTTGCAGGAATGAAGCTTCCATCTGTTCAAAATGAATGCAAAGAAAATGAAGCTGAAAATTAAACTTTTCTCATCTGATTCAGACCTGCGAAGTTCAGTCTTGTTGCTTAACTCCACAGAGTTGCTCTCTGCCTTAGCTCATGTAGTTAGTTCAGTGGGCCAGTCTGTGTCAGCTGAGGTACTGCCCCACGTGAGTCAATGCCTGTGATAGCTAGACAGTTTTGTCTATAGATCTTGAAGAGGTTTTCTCAGAATGGAAAGAAGAGATGAATGTGTGTTTGAGATGAAAATGGAGCAGAGGGCATCAACAGTTACAATTGTTCAAAGCCAGATAATGCATACCTACTCCCTGCAGTCATTACCTACTTCCCTGCAGTTCTGCTATGTTTTCTTATGTGCATTATCTAATATACTCTCCCTTGTTCTTTATGCAAGACAAATGCTTAGTGATTTTTGCTGTCAGAGCTGAATGAAATATGAATAGCATGCAGCCATTATAAATTAAGTTTATAGCATTAGTTCAGTTTTTATGCAGCAAATATTAATAATGGAGATAACTATGTAATTGTAAAATGTTTTATGAAAGCAGTAGCTCTCTAAATATATCTTAATCATTGTCTTCAAATTACCTTTCAAAATTAAAATGGTGATCCTGAAAATATTTATGGCCAACCCCTAAGTAGCATCGATTCCACTTCTTTCTGAGAAGAAAGCAGTAATTCCAGGCTTACTTTCAAGCGGGACTTAACAGTCGAATTGTTAAAATGCTTTCCAAGTGATCAGATGCAGCAAACAGCAAATTGAAGTTAAACATCATGAGGCATTCAGCTCGAGATTTATATTTGATAACTATTGAAACTGAGATTGAGGGCATAACTCAATTTTGTATTTGCCACAAAAACATTCTGCTTTTAGATTATATGATGGGGAAAAAAAAAAAAGAGAGAGAGAACTCCTTCCTTCTATCTCAAAAGATAGATGGCATCAAAAGACTCGGGCATAGTCATTTTTGTGCATTTCATCCAAATGTCTGGAGAGGCATCACAGGAATCCTGGAGAGGAGCAGGAGAGCTCTTCTGTGCATGTGAAGAAGAAATAACCCACTCAAAAGAACATTGTTAATTTCTCCAACTGTAACTTTCTTGAAACACAGCCATTTTCCTTCCAGGCTAGACTTGGAAGAAGAAGAAATGCTTGTAGTTTGATCAGACGTTAAAATTAAACCGGTGAGGGTCTGTGTATCTTTGCGGTCCTAAAGCGAGTTTCTATACTGGTTTATATCTTTAATGATCTTACCTTTAACATTCATCTACTCTTATGATAAGGCTAAAGTATTTTGCTTTTGTTTATCTCTGTAAAACAGAAAGCATGTTAGTGAGTCTGTAGCAGGGGGAAAAACAGGGAAGGGTTGTGGGGAGGAATGTAGAACTGGAGCAGGGATTTGTGAGGAGAATCCTTCTCTCCTATGTTAGAGGAGAAAAATACTTCATTTAGAATCAGTTCAAACTGGGTTGAGTCCTTAAATGTGGGTGGTGTGGGGAGATGTTTGTTGTTAACCTAATGATAACAACTGAGTGTGTTATTCCTTAGGCAACGCAGACCGAAGGCACTGTAAATTCAGACCAGATCCTAACATCCCTCTGATGTTCAGTGCTGTCAATGAAGACTACCTTGGGAGTGGGTGGTCACGAGGACACATGGCACCAGCAGGAGATAACAAATTTTCAACAGTAGGAACTTTGTATTATTTTTTCTTTTAACTGTGGGGGTTTTTTTTTCTCTCAGAAAGGGTCAAATGACCCTTAGAAGTGATGTATGGTGTTCGGTTTGCTGTTTGTTGTGAGTTGGAATATGGTCTCTTTGTTGAAACACAGATCTCAGCTTGGACTCTTCTTGACCTGGGTGCTGCAGGATGCTCTCGTTGTACTTTGGGTGTCTAAATTGAGTGCCCTAATCGTCCTGTGTTGACATACCTCTCTGCATTGAATCAGACCTAGGTTAGCTTGTCTGGCAGAGATGATAAATGTTAATACTGTATAGTGTTGAACAAGTCTCCTCATCATCTTGTGTGTCACACTGTCAGCATAACAAAGGTGAGAACGTTTACCAGCCAAACCACAGAAGTGTCCTCTGAAGCTCAGGTTAAAGGGAGACAAGGAAAGATGACTTCATTCTGGCCAACAGGTTTTGAAGCATTTAAGACTAGATTCGGCAAAGCAAATGTACTGTTAAGTACTATCCCACATTGGCAAGAGGATTGACTGGATGATTTACAAAGCTTTTTCCTTTCTGGCAGTGTGCACAAGGTAAATTAGAACCTTCTTTTGCCATAGTTCTTTCAGTCTATAAAATGTCTTCACCTGCCGTTTGTTTGAGTTGTAAGAAAGGCATGCCCTAATGCCTTGGCTGCCAAACAAAGCAGCTTGGATTTATTGGATCCTCTTGTGAAATGTGCCTAATGCAGGCAATTTGTCAATTAAGTAGCAGTTTGAATTTGTATTTCTGCTCTGCACTCTGGGGCACAGCAGCAGCACAGTGGCATGGGGTGAATGAAAGAACTGCTCGTTTTATTCCTCCTGGAAGTGTCCTTGTGTGGTTATTTGTGATACCTGGGGAGTTCTAGCAGGTGAGCTAACTGCACAGGATGATCCTCCTCCTCATTGGAAGTGCACTGACATAATACAGTCTTCCCAATACAAGCAGGGTTATAAAACCTTAATTCCACAGCTCAATCAGTGCAGATAGTGTTTGCTTGTTATTCTAAGAAGGTCTGTCAGCCCCTTTGCTTTGATGAAGAAGTATCTGAAAAGCATTGACAAGCATGGAACCTATGAAGATTCTGGGTTAAGGTTGTGTATTGTTTTCTCCCATATTTTCTCATTTGTGTGTAGCTGTTGAGCACTCTTTTTTTGCACTTCGGTTATTCACCTCTTAGTCCAAATCTGTTTTTCTAATTATTCTGACTTAGGTTTTTTATGTTGATGATGTTAAGAATGAATTACGTAGAAATGGTTTGTGATCCAGAAGCTTCTAAGATGTATTTGTAGCTCAGATGTTTCAATGAAATGATACTATTTTCTTTCTTTACACAGAGAGCTATGGCTGAAACGTTTTATCTCTCTAACATTGTGCCTCAGAACTATGAAAATAATGCTGGATTTTGGAACAGGTGAGAAGTGACTTATAAGAGAACTAAGTTGAAAAGCATTAGGCCGAAATGTTGTGTTTATAAAGCTTCCTCATGTCAAAGTATTCTAAAGCATTTTATGGGCTATCTGGAGAGATCGTGTCAACCATCTCTGTGTATTCAGGATAAAATTTATTCTGTCTGATGTGGGTGAAGTTACCAGGCTTAACTTTTCTGTCCTTAAGGAAAGCTCAGTAAAAGTGAGGAAAGGATTTAGATGTTTAGATCTAGTTTTAATCTCTCCCCTCTCCTGCCCCCCCAGAAGAAGCACTTCCAGTATCAGACTACAAGGACATTTGTTGACTTTGAATAGAAGAACTGAGTGCACCCTCCTGAGCTGTGACTGCTTGAGGTCACAGCTCAGGTGTTTGTTGGAATGCTGGCTTCCAAGGGGCAGGCAAAGTTCTCTGTGTCTTATGAACGCTGGCTGGATCAGCTTTGGAATGAAGTAAATGGAAGATAAATCTTTCTTTGTGTAAGATTTTTTTCTTCCCCGGAGCAGAAAAAATCCCACACTAATAGAACTAGAAGTCATTCTGTGCTTCTCGTGTAGGACTTAGATAACAGTGAAGATTTGGAAACAGGAGAGAAAAACAATGAATTTTACAAGGTTTGCTCAAGGGAAGGTTAGCAAAATTATGTACAGCATTGTACTAAAAGTCTATTAAAAATGCATCACCGTTAACAACACGCTGCATTCTGATTTTACAAGAATGCATATAAAATCATATGAGGCATTCAGTAAGGTTATACTCTTTTATGGACAAATAAAATGCAATAACATTTTAAGAGATGTTTTTGTATTATTTTAACACCCCAAGTATTTGAGCATAACATTTCCTTATACCAAAGCTAGGTGCTTGAACCAATTTAGGGCTGGAATCACTCTATTTCTCTTGAGCAGAATCAGTGCCTGATCAGGATACAATGGGGAGCATTTCAGAATCTCCCCTGGCACTGCCATCCCCACAATTTAATCTGCTGTTAGCACCTTCTGCCAACATCAGTGCTTCATCCCCATGGTTTAAATCCACAAAGCAGGTCTGTTTTTTCTGCTGTTTCTTTTGCCAGTTGCTTTTTTTAATGCTGTGTGGTTTTAAGAATACTGTGTATCACGTGTTACATCTTTCCTGGCTTTAGTACTCTCTTCCTTTCTCTGTTTTTAATTCCTTGCTTCTTGAATTGTCTTGTGCAGGTGCAGAAAGCTTAGTTAATCAGTCTGTTGCTTTTTGAAGTGGTGTGTGCCCTTCAGCCATGTGTTTTTGCTGCTTTTCCCCATAGCAGCTGTGATTCTTCTCTGAGTCTATGGTGGGTTGACTCTATTTACTAACCCAGTTAAGCTGAATCACGTTTGGTTGGTTACCTTTCTACAAGATTAGAAGATTGGATCAGCTGGTGAGATGAATGCCACAGCAAATATGGAAGATGTATCAGGACTGTTCAGGTGGGGCAGGCAAGGGGAGCAATAAGAAAGGAGAGAGGGCAGGACTGTGTCATTCAGGAAACTATCAGATAAGTAAGCTGTTAGATTAGTTTGATGATGTGATCTAACTGCACCTTTGTATTTACTCCTCATTCTTTACTTACCAATAGCAGATTTCTTTCTATTGTAGTGTTTCAGTGTCATTTTCTGTCTTGAGTGCATTTTCTTGATCACTGTTGTCTGATCTCCGTCCCTGCTGCTGCTAACAGCAGTCTGTTCCCTGTTGCATTTACTCCCCTTCTTCCCTTATGCCAGGTGGTGTTTGTATTGCCATATGGCCAGGCAGCCAGGAGAACTGGGTGCTTGGAAGCAAAGCTGATGACAGCAGGAAAAAAATGTAGCTTGTGGTCAGTGCTTATCACACGGTAGATCACTGTCACCAAGGAAGGAAGGTCTCATTCCTGCTTATTCTGCTTTGTGTGAATTCAGTTAACTTGCTATCTGGTTTTACTCAAAGTTGTGGACAGATGAGGAGTTCTGAAGGTGGCCCAAGTGATAGGTATGAAGAACAGGAGGGAGAAGGAGATGAAACTCTCTTCATGTGACTTCTGTAGTGTTTGGGATGTTAGATCAAAGTGAGGCTACAACCTCCCATTTTATTTATTTATCATTTCTAGATCCCAACACAGTGGGATCTGGAAGCACCTTTTTATTTGGAGGAGTATTTTATTCTATAAATTATGTTATAAATCAGCTAGTTTAGAAAACAAGAACGATGATACTATTTCAGGAGAAACTACTTAAAACTGATTAAAAATTATGCAAAAAGCATTAAGTAGACTTAGCAAAAATGTCAGGTGGGAATTTTCATAAGTTCTTTGGAGCGGGTCCAGAGGAGGGCCACTAAGATGACCAGAGGGCTGGAGCATCTCTCCTATGGTGAAAGGTTGAGGGAACTGAGTTTGTTTCGCTTGGAGAAGAGAAGCTCCAGGGAGACCTCATTGTGGCCTTCCAGTACTTGAAGGGAGCGTATACACAGGAGAGGGAACGGCTGTTTATGAGGGTGGATAGTGATAGGTCAAGGGGGAATGGTTTTAAACTGAGACAGGGGAGGTTTAGGTTAGATATTAGGAGGAAGTTTTTCACACAA